TTATATTTGCAACATATGTGTCGGGCCAGGCGAATTGCACGCTGCAACCGTAGGTGGCCTGTGATCGCGCTTGTAATCATTATCATCAAGGGAATATTGATGAGAACAGCGCTACAAAGTAGAGTTAATCCGCGCTGGGCCGATCGCATGTTCGCGCGCCATCACCTTTCACTTCGACCGCGCGCGCGAGATTTCCCTTTCTTGCATCAGCTTAATCACCATTTTCATTTCCTTGCCTTTCTTTGCCCTCCAGCGCCAGTCCTATAATTCCGGCGGGAGGGCAGGCGGCTTTATCCGCTCAGGATCCGAAATGAAGGGCCGCATCCAGCCGGCGCTGCCAACAAAGGAAACCGTTTCCTTCGAGCCGCGTCCTTCCTCCCTCCCGCGCGCCCTCCTCCGCCCGAGACGGGTACTCGCTCCATCTCCACTTAGGTCCTGCTAATCTCCTTAACCCCAACCGCCCACTCTAAAACGCCCCTCCCCTCCCCTCTCGCTCCCCTCCCCCTCTACACAACTCACAGCTCAGGTTAAACCACCAACTTTATTATCAAATCAAGAACTCAATTATCTCGTCTAATGGCGTCCCCGAATGACCAGACACACGAGAGAGGAAACGGAAAATATTGGCTTGAGGAGAGGGTTTATCTTCGGGCTGCGCGGAGAGGGCGGAGAGGGCAGAGGGCGGAGGACGGAGCCGGCAGGAGCGCCGCCGGAGGCCCCGAACCTGCCTCAGGAAACGAGATGACGAGCAGCGGTGTTTGCACGCGGGCAATTGATATATTTGGGTTAGCAATGATCTAGTCTCATTAAGTCCCAAGCGAATGTTTCACATGCAAATCTTGCTCGGTTATTATAATTTAGGTGTCTCTACTATTTCAGCGAGGATATGCATATCATGTGCATATATTGCAAGTGTGGTGTAACATCTGGGTACGAACGAGGTCCCCCCCCACGACGCAGCGCAACCCGGAGTTAAGCCGAGGTAACGTTATGGCGGCGTTTGTCAGGCTGTCCGCGACTCCAAATATAACTCGTCTCCGTCAAGCGTCGCGTCGCGGGTGAGCGATGGCCCCTCGCCTCGCGCTCTGCCTGCGTCGTCCCCATTAGTGCTTTCTGGCAGGCAATCAGGCCACAAAGCCCAGCCACAAAAGCTTAGGCCTCGCAAGCATCGGCAGGAACGCTGTGCAGAATTGGACACCGGAAATCGATACTGTGCATCTCCAGTTATATTTAAATATATATATTGATATCTAAATATTTATGTGTGTGTGTGTATAAATTTACACTAGTATATGTTTATATATATATGTATGTATGAATGAATGAATGAATGAATGAATGAATGAATGAATGAATGAATGTATGTATATATAAACATACATACATATATATATATATATATATATATATATATATATATATATATATATATATATATATATATATATATACATATATATATATATACATATATATATATACATATATATATATATACATATATATATATATATATATATATATATATATATATATATATATATATATATATATATATGTGTGTGTGTGTGTGTGTGTGTGTGTGTGTGTGTGTGTGTGTGTGTGTGTGTGTGTGTGTGTGTGTGTGTGTGTGTGTGTACATATGAGCATGTGTAGTTTATGTATAAGTATGTAGATGAAGGTGTGGATGTGCATGTATGTGAGTACGTATATGGTTATGCATGTGAACATTTGACAGATTTACACACAAAATCGGTAATCATTGTTGCTATGCGATTATATTCGTTTTTGTGTGCCCCATTCTTGCCATCATACTGCCCCTGTGCACATAACACTGCAATTCCCCGCTGCCTTCCCGCGCCGCACTGCATCCCTCCCTACCTTCCACGGCACCTGCTCAGTTTACACCTTCCGAGCGCGGGTCATGAGAGGGACACATGTTTTCAAGACTTTTTGCTAAAGGTGGACGGCCATTTGTAGGTGCGCCTCGCCTGCGGTCCTGAGCCTCTCCACAGCAGCAAACTCGGGAACAATACCGTCTGTCTGTCGGCAAGACTGGTACGTCTGGCTTGGGCGTGGGCCGGAGGGAGGCCAAGCTGGAGAAGTCACAGTTTCGAGGAGTAAAGTCGATTTATTGGCGAACTACCGCGTTGATATCGAGTCCTTTGGAGGTCTGTATCCCCCTTCCCCCTCCCCCCCTCGGAAAACGACTCTCTCCCCCCCTGCTCCAAAGTCAGCGTAACGCACCGCGGCTCCTTTCCAGAATACCCAAGACAAGAGGAAGTTTGTTACCCTAAAAATCCCCCTCCCCCCACTCCCCACCCGCCCTCTGAGTCATACCCTACACACGGTTCACAATCCAAGGGCGGCCGAGCAACCTCCCAGGGGTTCATATCCTGAGAGTAGAGTCCAGAGGATGTGATCAGCTGGCAGCGAGTCCCAGTACCAGGTGAGGCGAGAGACAAATCGATGGTGAGAGCCAGAACCTCAGCAGGTGACTCACTCTCACTGCCCACGCATCAAACGTACATACACAGCAATTGTAACGAATTTAAATATATTATGAATAAATAAGGGCGTGTACAGATAGACATACGAACTGAGGGAGAACGAGGATGAGAAAAAGAGAAAGAGAATGAGAAAGAGAGACACGGAAAGACAGACATCTCAGACAGAGATAGGAAGGAAGGACGAGAGACAGACAGGGATAGAAAGAAAGAGCTAAAGATAGGCAGACAGAATGGGCAAGAAACAGAGACATGGAAACAGATGGACAGACTGAAACCGAAATTTCAAGGCCGTGTTCCGCCCGTTCTCTACGCCGCAGGGGGGGGGGGCGAGAGACCTCTAGGATGAACAAGGTCTTACTCCCAACCACGAAATTGCGTAAATTTGCAATGACCTTAACTTTATTGGTGAGAAAATTGACGAAAAGGCTGCAGTATTTGGTCCAAAACCATGATATTGACTTTCTATATCCAATACTTCCCCATTTCTTTTGTTTCTGAATTTATATATTTGTATATATTTCATATATATGTATATACTCTGTGTGCGTGTGCGACTGTGTGCGTGCGTGTGCATGCGTGAGCGTATGTGTGTATGCGTTTGTATTTATGTGTGTATGATTGCGTGTACATGTTTGTTTGTGAGCGTGCGTGCGTGTGCGTTAGTACAACGAACGACTACAGCGTCGAAGTTACGAGCCCCGTTCCCAAAGCAGTCGCCTGCCATAAACTCGGGCCCGCACACCTGCGAACCCGGCCCTCCGCTCGTACTCACCCGACGGGTCGTAGTAGGGCGTCAGGATGGGCACCATGACGTAGCCCTGCATGATGCTCGTCGAGTCCGCGGGGTTGGGGGCGGCGGAGCCCTCGCCGGCGTCCGTGCTGGCTTGGCTGCTCTCGGTGGTCATGCTGTCTGTGATGCTGCTCTCTGTGATTCTGCTGTCTGTCATGTTGCTGTCCGAGGAGGCGGTATTGTCTGCGCTGTCAACTCCCTTGTCCTCCTGCTCTTCGCCCTGTTCCAAAAATACGGCATGAGAAAATACAGAACCAACAAAAGCTAAAAAGTTAAAGTCAAAAAGAAAATAGAAAAAAAAGAGGAAAGGAATATTCATATCCAGCCAACAGTTCTTTACAATGAACGAAAAAAAATGCTCGAAATCCTAAAAATAAAAGAAGAGAGAAAAAAAATTCTATCCCCGTCCCTCTTACCCACTCACCCTTCCCCCACCCCCACCCCCAAAAAGAAAAAAAAAGAGAGAGAAAACAAAGAAAACAGAAAGAGAGAAAGAAAACAAGACAGAAAAAAAAATCCGAAAGACACAAGAGGCGACGTGTTTTAACATCCCCGGCCAGTCGATCTGCCTGGGAATGAGACACATCAATAAAGGTTTAGACGGCGCTCCTCCCAAGAGGCTAAACGGGCCACGCTGAACGGAGCCCGCCATGCGCCCGGCTATCGAGAAACGATCTAATGAATCATGGGCGAGGGGGGGAGGGGGAGCCGTTCGCACCTTCTTGGGGAAAAATGGAGAAAGAGAAAATATTAGATTTTCTATATCAGTGTCACAGGGAGAGGTGGATATACAGACAGGTAGATAAGCGGCAATAAATAGATGCTGATGGATATTGAGAATGAGAAATGAAAGGGCATTACGATGTAGAGATCGAAAGAGAAAGGAAGATAGACAAGCAAACGAACAGATTCACAGATATAAAGAGAACGATTGATCAAACTCCAAACATACGAGAGCAAATCATTATTCTTTCAAAGTGAACGTACGATTCTGAAACACTTCCTCAACGATCCTAATGACCTGTCGCAATGCAGAAAGATCCAAGGCACAGATATGGAAAAACGAGCGAAATGAAACACGATTCCCAGAGTCCTTGAGACCAGCCTAAGCCGCTTACCTTGCCTGTGTTGTCAGGGGCGTCGGCAGAGAGGTTGGTGGAGGAAGGGGGCTGCGTGGGCGCGCTCGCCTCGTGGGCGTCGGAAGGCTCGCCCGCTGGAGTGGTGGGCGTGGACGACGACTCGCTCATGCTCGCGTACTGGAAGGAGAAAACGGGCGATCAGGAGTGCTGTGCAGGGAAGAAGAAATCAAAGAAAAAAGAGAAAAGAAAGAAAGAAAGAAAGAGAGAAAACATGTGTAAGAAGTGTGAGCGGATGCATATCTATCCAAGAGGTTTGCTGCCTCTTTCGGCAATGAGCGGGTAAGTACCTAACTTTTCGTAAGTATAGATGTGTGGTTTTCTTACATACAATAACTACTGTCTGGACTTTTAATGCACGGTCTTAAAAGTAATCAATGAACAAGCACTAGACGAGGCTGCTCCGTCAATGGCCACTAAGATGAAGACACTGTGGCTATAAAGAGTTTTTTTGTAGAAAACAAAATACTGCAAAAGAAAGAAGAAAGAGAGAGAGAGAGAGAGAGAGAGAGAGAGAGAGAGAGAGAGAGAGAGAGAGAGAGAGAGAGAGAGAGAGAGAGAGAG